TCCTTAATAAAGGAAGAAATATAAAACACTTGAGAGATTGCAACTAAGAAACTTGAAACTTTAATGGAGTAGTGAAGAAAAGTATGGAAGATTGTAGAAAACTTGAAGAAGAGAATGAAAAGTGGTAGAAGGCTTATGTTGGCCGACCCATACCATCTAACATCTTCTTTTTTCTTTCTTTATTTTTATTCATTTGACATTTGTCTTTTGCATTTAATGTCCTATAACATTATTTCCCTTTTTGCCCTTAACAATTGTCTTTTAATTACTCCTTAATCCTTCATCATCTTTATCTTGTCAAGCAAACAAAATATCATCATTCTTTTACCACTTTACCCCTAAGGCATGTGCATGGTAGTTAACTTAACACATAAAAAGGAGAAGACTATTTTACCCTTGGACGTATTGGTGGGGTTTACATAAGACTAGGACAATAACATCGATATCCCTTCTAAAGGCTAGAGTAACCTAGAAAAACACATTTAAGAGATTAGGGATCTAACTTGATTACCTGGGGTCGAACATCACGAACAAAACAAATACTACCAAATATCTTTGGGGCAATAGGAAACAAAGGCTTAGACGGGAAGAGAACACTGTAAGGAGTAGAACCTTTCAAAATAGAGGAAGGCATGCGGTTAATTAGAAAATAGACCGTGGAAACTGCATCGGCCCAAAATTGTTTAGGAACTTGCATTTGAAATAATAGGGCTCGAGCGGTTTCAAGAAGGTGCTTATTTTTCCTCTCGGCTACTCCATTTTGGGACGGTGTGTCAACAGAAGAGGATTGATAAAGAATGCCATGTTGGCTCATATAAGACTGAAAAGAACTCGAAAAATATTCTTTGGCATTATCGCTTCTTAATGTTTGGACATAAGTATTAAATTGAGTTTTAACTTCAGCACAAAAGGCACAAAAATGAGAAAACAACTCAGAACGATTTTTCATTAAATATAGCCAAGTTACACGAGAGTTGTCATCAACAAAGGTAACAAAATATTTAAATCCAGGTTTAGACATAATAGAACACGTACCCCAAACATCTGAATGAACTAATTCAAAAGAGACACTAGCCCGTTTATTGACTCTTGGACTTGAAGAAAGATGGTGGTGTTTGGCAAATTGACATGACTCACAATCTAACGAAGATAATTTATTAAACTGAGGACATAGTTTCTTTAACAATGGTAAAGAAGGATGTCCTAACCGACAATGCACCTCAAAAGGGGTCAAAATACTGGAACATGCAATGGTTCTTGACACATGTGTGTCAAGGATGTAAAGCCCTCCAGATTCATGTCCTTTACCAATAATCTACCTCGTTGTAAGATCTTGAAATAGGCAATGGTCAAGGAAAAATGAGATACAACATTTAAGAGCATGAGTGAGTTTACTCACAGAAATTAAATTAAAAGCGAACTGTGGTAGACTCAATACAAAGGATAGGGAAATTAACGGAGTAGGGTTAACAAACCTAGACCCAAGAACACAAGAAGTTGACCCATCAGCTAAAGTAACATTAGACGAGGAATTATGTGACAGATATGATGAAAAGAGACTAGGATTACCTGTCATATGATCTGTGGCACCAGAATCAATGACTCATTTGGAGGATGAGGCAATAAGACATGTATTTGGTTTACCTGACTCAGCGAGAGCAGTGATAGAAGTAGATGAGGACTTCAATGATTCTTGATACTGAGAAAACTTGGCAAACTCATCAACTGAAATCATAACATTGTTTTTAGAAGTATCAATAGCGGCAACATGAGCTGACTGAGGTTTCTGGGCCTTTTTTTGCAACTTTCTATACGTGCACTTTATATGACCGAGTTCATGACAATAGTAGCACACAATCCCTCCTGACTCTTGACTTCGATTCTCATGATAATTCGAACCCCGTCCTCTATTATTTCTCCTGTTATATGAACGCCCGGTGTCATGATTCTGACTTACAAGAGCACTACTCGATTGAACAGATGGAGTGCTTTCTGTACGAAGAACCCTAGTAAATATGTCTTGGAGGGAGGTGATCTCAGAACTAGCAAGAACCTGAGATTTAGCATATTCAAACTCAGAAGGGAGTCCAGCTAGGAAACTCATAATCGCCATTTTCTCTCGTTGAGCTTGTTGAACTTTCACATTAGCACTCACCAGTAGAAGAATGTTAAGTTCTTCATATGTCCTTTTAAAATCCATAAAATAGGTCGTAAGAGACCTATCTTGTTTCTCAGCTCGATAAAAAGCTTTGCATACATAAAAAATACGAGAAACATTCCCTTTCCCAGAATACAAAAAATCTAGATAATCCATCAATTCCTTCACATATTCACAATGATTAATTAAACCAAAACCAAGTATCTCACTATTGATGGAGTTCCGTATCTACAAGAACAACTGGGCATCCTCTCTCAACCACGTTTACTTTGAATCGTCTTCAGATGAATCTTTGGTGAGATGATCATCTTTACCAATGCTTCGCAGATAAAGACGAATTGTCTTACTCCAATCAAAATAGTTATCAGACCCATTAAGCTTATGTTCCGTAATTTTTGACATTACACCATATCAATTATAGACTTATCAGTCATGGTAAGAAGATGAAAATAGCCAACAAAAACTCTTCAAAGAACGAACTCTATACCAACATAAACCAACAAAACTGATACCAACAGAAACCAACAAAATTGTTCTGACCTCGCTGAGATACTGAGGAACTAATCACACAGAATTGCCGGAAATAACAAGACGAAGCCGGGAAGGGCACTCCCCAGGGTGACTCACAAATAATGCTCACTTGGGCAGAAAAGAAAAAAACAACCTAGAATTGCTCTGATACTACAAACAGAGAACTGATTGTAATAATTTTCATATTGTATTGACAAATTATACATCAATATATATAGGAAAATAAAGAACTAATCTAGGAAATAAATATTCTAACTTCCTATTTTATAGATTTGTTCCTAATATGTATTGATTACAATCCTAATATCCTATTACAGATTTATACACTTAATCATGCAATATCTGTAAGATTTTGCATGATTATCTACAACAAATGTTATCAGATAATTTGATGGTTCCTTTCCCAGCTATGGAAGATAAGCATCCATTAGCAATTTGAACCTTTTTATTACCTGGACAGGGTGAGTATGAATGGAACAAGTCTGATATACTGGTCATGTGATCAAAAGCACCTGAATCTATGATCCAAGGTGTAGAATTTAAGTGACTAAAGAAGGCTTGAGAGATACTACATGTCTGAGCAAGGGAAGCACTAGATTGGCTAGGAATTGGACTGGAAGTCAGCAGCTTAATGAGGCAATCCATTTGCTCCTTGTTAAGACTTTTCTCCAAACTCTCCACTTCATTGGCAGTGGAAATTGCTCGATTGTTCTTGTCACCACCCTTGTTGCTCTTCCAATCTACTGGCTTGCCATGAAGTTTCCAGCAAGTCTCACGAGTGTGTCATGGTTTGTTATAGTAATCACACCAGACACGAGGCTTTTGAGTGGAGAAAGACCGAGCAACATTAAGATCAGCAACGACAGCAGATTTTTCAACTGTACCACCAGAAGGCTCCTTTCCCAACATCACCCCTCGATGGCTTCCTCCCTCATTACCTCCGAAAACACCTCTTCAATAGTAGGAAGAGGTTTCCTACCAATAATTCTACCCCTGACCTCATCAAATTCAACATTAAGGCCAGCAAGAAATTTAAAGATTCTCTGTTTCTCCACGGTTTGTTTGTGGTGTTTAAAATCATCTGAGCTCTTCCACTCATAATCATTGAAGAGATCCAGATCTTGCCACAACCTCTTAAGAGCACTAAAATAGTGAGTCACACTTTCTCCCCTTGGCGAATTTCGCCTAGCATCAATTCCAACTCAAAGACTTGGGACTAATTTTCAAAGTCAGAATACATCTGACAAACATTGTCCCAGAGCTCCTTAGCCGTAGAGAAGCACATAAAGTTGGCACCTATTTCTTCTTCCATAGAGTTCACCAACCATGCCATCACCTTTGAGTTTTTTGCATCCTAGACACTGTAAGCAGGATCAGAAGTATCAGGTGCCTTAGTCTCTCCAGTTAAGTAACCAATCTTACTCCGTCCACGAATATACATGCGAACCGATTGAAACCACCTCATGAAATTTCCCTCGTTCAACCTAATAGTTGTAATCTGGACAGAATGGTTGGATTCAATATGGGTAAGTTTGGGGTCAAAGGTTTTGGTACCTTGGGAGGTGACAGAAGTCTCGCTGGATTGTTTAGACATATTGGAAAGAGGGGCTAGGAATAAAAAAACCAGAGAAAAAAACTGAACAATAGCAAATAGAAAATGCTCTATTTTCGGTAAGAAAAACAGAGCAAAACAGAGCACGTTTCAGCAAGAAAAAAAAAAAGGACTGGAGAAGACAATATTCAAAGGACCTAATCTGGCTCTGATGCCATCTAGAATTTAGGGCAGAGAAGAAAAGTGTTTTTCTTATTATTTCACGAATAGCAGTATAGATTTTTATAGTGTTTACAATAGACTAAGTTGTGAAATATCCTTAAATGCTAAAGATACATTCCGCCTAACTAGGAAAGAAATAAACTATATTTACATCAAATATACACTTAGCAAAAATAGAATGATCTGACCAAATCAAGGAGATTTGCTCAAAGAATCGAAATCTTCCAACATTACCTTTACTAGTACATGTTCATGCCTGCTTGAGGCTTCTTTGTGAAGATATAAAATCAACTATAGTTTTGTTGAAGTGATGTGTCCTCATAAAATGACTTAGCCATGTCAAAGTGGTGATTGCTTTTAAGGAAAACCTTTTTTTCTTAATATATTTCATCAAATTAAGATTCTTGGTAAATCAGTTAACTTTTATGGATTGGCATGCTGAATTTTCTTCCTGTAATTATTGTCATGGTTTTTTGTCTGTAAGAGTTTTAAAATCACCCTCTGGGTAATGAACTCTTTTGATTTTGATAGCTGCAGTGTGGTCCTATGAACAACCACAGGGGGAAGAAGAGTGTTGTGTTATCTACATGGGGTGATGATTCTATGCTCTCAGAAGAGTATATTAACTCCTATTATATTCCAATTAGTTATCAATCTTTTGGCAAACAAACACAGCAGAATTTGGTATTTACCTTTCGATGCTAATTTAGCTTTATTTATAGTATTATTTTCTTTCCTTTTACTTTTCTGCATCTGTAACATGAAACTACATGGTCTTTTGCTCAGAAAAGATTGAATGAAGATGTTATAGACTATGATCTTCTTGAAGACTTGGTATGTCATGTTGATGAAACATGTACTGAGGGTGCCATACTCATTTTTACCTGTAAGTTCTTCCAGTAATCCTTTCAAATTGATCACTCATTCATGGGCCCGTGTTGTCTCTATATCAAAACTGTTATTTTGATGTAATAGTGCTTCATAAACAGGGAGTGTCAGAAATCTACATTTTACTTGATAGATTAGTGGCTTCTTATCGATTTACTGGACCATCTTCAGATTGGATTCTTCCTTGACATACATCTATAGCATCAACTGATCAAAAGAAGGTGTTCTTACGACCTCCTGATAACATATGGAAGGTAGATTTTGCTTTATTTTACTCTTGTGGTTAACGATAACGATATATACTATTCTTCAGTGATTCTCTGTTTGCAACAAACTTCTTATGTTTTATTTTTTGGGGATAATATTGTGCTAGTCTGCTTTAAGGAAATAAAGACTGCAGATTTTTTTTTTTTTTTTTTTTTTTTTCTTAATACTGAATTTTCGACATTTTCCACTAAATGTAAGACTCGTTATACTTTTACAAAAAACTGTGATAAATGATGTTATTTAACACCTATATCCTTATGATCTTGGTTATCGTTGCTATGAAATAATTAATTTTGCTCCCGAAATTATCGATTTCATCTTCAAATACTTATGATCCAGGTTATCATTGCTACAAACATTGCTGAGACAAGTATAACGATAGATGATGTGGCGTATGTGATTGACTGTGGAAGGCATAAGGAAAACCGTTATAATCCACAAAAGGTTTGGGCCATTTTGATAAAAGTCATACGCTCATATCATTCAGAATGTCAACTTTGCTGGATGACTGGATCATTTTCAAACCATTTCCTTTTATAGGATTTGGCATGATGAATTAGAAAACTGGATTTGGCATGATGAATTAGAAAACTTCTCAGTGACAATTATAATATATTTGATGGAGCAGAATTTGACCAAAAAAATGACGATTTGTTGATTAGATTTTTCTTTCTAACGTGGCAATAATGTTGCTGACAATTAACAAGTTTCACAAAACAAATTTGGTTGGTGGCCAGGGCTGTCTTTAAATTTATAGCAATATTGGAAATATATAATTATATGACATAAATTTCTTAGGTACCCTGTTTGAAATTTGTTTTATAAAAACTAAACTGAAAATGGATTACAACAAAAGGTTTTTGGTCTAATTATTATTATTGTTATTTTGATAGGAAAGACGATAAAACTAATTATTATTATTGATAACTTAGAATTAACGAACTCGTCTAACAAACTTGAGTTCAAAACTGGGAACTAGAGGAACCCTAGAATGTTTGGGAAGGTATTTTGAAGGCTGTGGACCAAGGAATTGAACCGTAGGCCATTTGGGAGGAAACCATATGCGTGATAAACAATTATAAAAAATCTGAATGGGAATTGAATTATACTTTTCAACTTTACTGCCTGTGGCTTAAGCATTATTTTAAAAACCGAATCGGAGGGCAACCCGTTCTGATGGTCGGGTCACAGTTCAATCGGTCCAACCGATTAGACCGTCGGTTGGACCGGTGACATCATCACACATTAGCACATTTTTAAAATAATTTTTTTTTTAGATTTTTTTTTTAATAAGATAATAATAATTATGGTCTAACATGATTCAAAGTTCAAAATCCATTCTTCTTATTCCACACTATCTGACAACATAACAATTCTTGGGAAATTTGATTTCAGCTTCAGCCCTTCTAACTTCAATATAAGTGCTTAACTGCTAATAATGAAAGGATTTATAATATTTCTACGGATACAATTTTTTTATAAAAATATTTCTCTGTATTTAAGTTTATGTTTGAATAGAGCACCAAACCACTGTTTCACACTTCCCGAAAGTTAAAAATTACAGAGCTTGGTAGAGCGTTCAGACTCAGTACTGGAACCGTACTTAAATCAAAATAGTGTGGGAGAAAGTATCAAAGATACGTAAAATCTTCCGAATAACTTTCTTCTGACCTTTTTCTGCTTAACGTTGGAAACCAAAAAGGTGGGCCAAAAGAAAATCTTGAACCCAAAAGATTATAATATTATACAGTCTAATATACGGATTTAACTAGTGAACATATGGCAGTTTGACTTTAAATTCTCTTCTCTGCCTTTCATTTCCAAGGTTCCTCTATACCTCTTCTTTTACTTTTCCCAACCAAGAAGAACACAAAGAAAGTTCTCTCTCTCTCTCTTTCTCTCACCATAAGCCAGAGAAAATGGGGTCACCACTTTTTGGCTTTCTCAAACAATACAACACTGAATCTCTCATGATTTTTATGATCTTCTTCTTGAGCTCTATTCCTAACACAACGAACCTTTCTTTTAATCTCTCTTTAGCTACCACAACAATTCAAACTCATTCTTCTTCCTCCAACATCCCTTTCTCATTAAAACAACTGCCTCTGGACGGCTACCTTAGCTTTCAAAATATGCATCATGCAGCTCAAGACTTTGGCAATACTCACCATTTCCAACCATCAACAATTCTATATCCTAAATCAGTTTCTGATATTTCCTCAATAATAAAGCATATCTATCATATGGGTTATGCTTCTGATCTCACAGTGGCTGCTAGAGGCCATGGCCACTCCCTTCAAGGCCAGTCACAAACTCAAGAAGGTGTAGTTATCAACATAGAATCACTCCAAGAACCACTTATGGAAGTTCACCCTCTTGAACTGTCGTATGTGGATGTTTCCAGTGGTGAGTTGTGGATTAATATTCTGCATGAGACTCTTAAGCATGGGCTCTCACCAAAGTCTTGGACAGATTACCTATATCTCACCGTCGGAGGCACGCTATCGAATGCCGGAATCAGTGGTCAGGCATTTCTCCATGGACCCCAGATCAATAACGTTTACCAGCGAGTTCAGATGCTATTTGGGTGGGCTGAGAAAGACTGAAAGAGAAGAAGATGAGAAAGGGCTGCATTGCGTATTAGGGATTTTTAAGATTTGGACCGGTTTATCCGTCGGTCCAACCTCGCTGAAATTATCCGGTTTTCAAACGGTTTAAAGCGACTTAGTGTATTATAATGGTTTTGGGGTTGACTCGAATCTGACACGTGACCGATCCCCGGTCCAACCGGTTGGACCAGTCGGTCCGGTCCGATTTTTAAAACAGTGGGCTTAAGCAGGCCCTTCATATTTTATCACCTTCTTTTATAGTTAGGCAATGCACCTTAAAATCTCAAGCTATTAGATCGAGGACCTAATGAAACATACATAGTCCTATTAAGTACTTATCCTATTGGTGTGGTGTGCTCTATCACTCCACATCATATGTTTGAGCCCGACAAAATACTTTGCCAAATGGGTCTTACACTTGATCTATTATTGATGTTTGATTTTGACACCAACTATTTGCACGTGTGAAGTGTTAAGAGGACTTAGAAATCACACGTGATATGACAATGCAGAAAGAGAGACGGAGTGAGTAACAATTTTTAAAGTGGTTCGAATGCTCTACAGCGAATCCTATATCCACTGTGATATATAAAAAGTGGGTTATAATTAGGTCGTACTCGACGAGCTGAATTACAACATGGAAAATAAATGGAAAGAGAAAGGGAGAGAGAGAGAGCTTAGATGGTGAAGGAGACAATCTTGTAAAATGGAGGAGAGCCCTCTATTTATAGTGGGAGGATCCAAGCTGGCAATCATGATTCTACGTGCGGGTAGGTGTGGTATAATTTCTAACCTGTTTCCCATTGGTCGCCTGCATGAGAGGTATCTTTAAATAGCGTATAGCTTCAGCAGGTGGACATTTCCCAGCCACTCATAGGCTTGGCGTTCACCTGTCTTATTGGCGATGGCCTTACCCCTCTTGTCCTTGTGGGATATGGCTACATCTAGGCGGCAAAAAACCTTCCTGAATTCTCATGGTTCTTGTTGACTCATGCTTACGCCAGCCTTGGTTCTTGAGCATAACAGAAGCCCTCCAGTTTTTAAGGTTTAAGGATTAAGCCTTGAGAACTTCATGATTATGCCGCGACTTGGGCGGTCCCGGATGATGCTTGATTGAGCCGGTCGATCTGCATGGATCCTTGAGAAATGTACTTAACGACCTGATATAGTTTTTTTATGGCAGGTTCAATGACCTGACTCAAGTTGCGATCAGTGCCGTATCAATATATCTTAAGCCTCAACTCTATCTTACGACCTGCGAAAGTTTTATTGCCTCTCTTATCAAAAGCGAGGGGTCGTGTTCCTTGAAATCAACGCTTGGTGAAGAGTGTTAATTTGAACGACCTCTTCAGATGTTATCCGTTACGCGTGACATTCACCTAACCAATAAAATATTCTTGATTCTGACAGACTTGCCCATTACATAATAAGTGGCAACCATGCGCTTTTAATGCACACCATGCTGAAATGACATTCTCCTTCAGGGCATTAAATGCAGATAGGGGCTCATTTAATGTGGAGAAGGGTAACTGTGCCGTTGTTTGGTTATTCCAATTGAGGAAAATGTCGATTGGTGTTTCCAAAGCATGGGAGTTATTTTTCTCACGGATTAACGATACGTGGTCGTAATCAATGGTAAGGACCATGTTCTGCCCAAACGTCACCCACTCAGGAAACCCAATCGACGCATTTTTGCTTATAAAATCCGAATTTGTTTCAGATTCGTTGCCACAAATTCTCATTCTCAAAAAGAGAAACGAAGCTCTCGCAACAATCAGCCCACCTTCTTCCATTGATGCACATCGTTCGTTACGATAGAAAACTCTTCCCACACCGTCAAGAGGTAAGAGGAGTTTCTCTCTTGCTCTCTTCTGTCATTCGACGATTCTGTACGACTTGTTTGGTAATGGTGGGTATAAGCTGTCCGGTGGGTTTTTGTAGTGCATGTCCCCAGATAGTGGTGAGGAGAGGGGTTTAGTTTCTCTTGAAGGTGAGAAGTTCAGGGCACAGATCCTTGGGGGTTCACTCCCAAGAGGTTTTTGAGGGTTTTGCTAGGGTTTTAGAATGATACATTAGGGTTCCCCTTGTCCTTCCACGTCACTGTACGAAACATTGTACGAAGGCTGAGCTTTTTTTCTTTCTTTTATTATATATTATCACATATTACTTTTTATTATTTTTTATTATGTCGCCTCTTTTCAAACCTTAGGAACAATGGACGCTTCAGCGACCAAGGGAGCCGAAGGCACAAGCTCGTAGGCACCAGCCGCCCAAACGGGTCTCGTGCTAGAGACCTTGTCGGTGATCACCCGAGAGGAGATACAAAAGGCAGTTGACCAATATGCGCTTAACGTGAATGTCTACCAGCACAGAAACTGTACAGCTCAGAATCCCCCAGAGGGAAAGGTCGCGATCTCGGAGACGATCTTTAAGTGTGGGGCGCTGATACCTTTTCATCCCTTCGTAAGGTCGATTCTTAACCACTTCGAGGTTGCGTCAATGCAGTTAACGCCCAATGCGTAGATGATAGCTATTGCTATGTATATCGCATGTGGCAAAAACGGCCTTGGCGAGCTAACAACACTGGAGCTTGCGTGCTCTTACTATCTGAAGAAGAGTAAAGACAAGGATTCTTTCTACCTCTCGAAGCGATCTACGATCGAGGGAGGGATATTCAATTACCCCAGCAATGTCGGGGCTTATGAAACTAAGTTTTTCTTTTTTGAATATGATGGCGTCTACTAGTTTAGGGAGCCAAATATGTCTTTCTTTTCCATTTGCGAGTTGTTATACCTTCAGTTTTTGTGTCTGATGAAACTTTTTGTCTCTTCGCAGGGAATAAGATGACTAGGTTGGGAAATCTAACAGATTACAACCAAATCATTGCATTTGGCCATCTTCCCGACCTTTGTCGTGATGCGAAGTTGCTCGTGACCATTGCAAATTTGAGGAAGTACATCTTTTTCAACCCGGAAGCATCCTTAGAGTCGGATCGTAAGTATCCCCCATACTTAGAATACTTTTTGGTTGCCTGTGGCGACCTGTATTACTAACATTTTTATGGTACACAATGATCATGTCGCCCAAGGTGCATTGAGCCAATCGAGGCAGTCCATGGTGATATCCCCACATGAGGGATACAAATTGGAGTCGAAGGGCGAACACCTCCAGAGACACATGAGGAAGCTCCTCGGCCTGCGGCAACTCGCCCCCCCCCCCCCCCAGTAGAAGATCGCGGGCCAAAAGAGTAAGAAGAGAAAACAGTTGCAGGCCGAAGAATCGGAGTCCGAGTCAGAGGGCGTTGGGTTGCAGCCTGGGAGTTCTCAGCCTTACCAGGTTTTCTACTTGTCAGGCGTCTCAGCGATCCCCAAAGGCTCAGGCCGAAGAGAGGGGGAAACTATGGTCACCCACAAGAAAGTGGGCAAGCAACGGGCTGATGAGTTGCCATTCCTACGGAGGTAGATATGCTAGTGTCAGACTCCATGGGGCAACTTCCTGAGCACTTGCAGTCGGTGGTGTACATCCTACTGGAGTGCCAACTGGCTTCGGCCTTTGAGGAGTTCGTGGCTTCCCGGCCTACGGACTTGCTGAGCACTGCTCTTCAGCTGCAAAGTCAGGTAGGGCGATCCGTCCTCATCGAGGACTTCAAACTTGGTTGATTTTCTGGCTTTAATAATTTTCGAAAAAATGGGAGTTAACTCTTGCTTTCTTTCTTTTGCAGACCTTACTTGCTTTGCACATGGCCCAATAGAAGCTTAACTTAGACTATGCTAGAGGGATCCACAACCTGAAAGTGGAGAATGCCAAACTGGAGAAGGACCTTGAGGATTGGGCCATAGAGGCAAGGTCGCTCAACCTCTAGGCAAATCAATACTTGGTGGAGAAAAATTCCACCCTTAGCACCGTGGATTTCCAGAAGGCTGAGCTCGAAAGAAGAGGTGAAGAGGTCAAACAGCTCTAGAGAACAGTAGCGAAAGAGAGAGCTCGATTGTGGGAGACCTCCGAGAAGCAGAGGAGGGCGTTGGAAACGGACCTCAAGCTTTCCCGAGGGTGGGTTGCTTTGCTGACTGACTAGATCAAGGGACAGAATCTTGAGCTTGAAAGGAAAGCCGCCGACTGGGCAATTCAAGCCATTTATACTTTGCAGCCAACGAACCTGGGAATGGATCTCTCCGACCTCCCACCTTATTATCAAGACATCCTTGCTTCCATGGCTCGAGCTGACGACGAGGCTAGGGAACAAGAGCCCACTCTGGAGGATGATCAGTCGGAGCAATATGTTCCTAAGGATCCAATGGTTGACCTGATAGCCGGCGACCAACCGGGGGACGATGAGGTCGCGCCTGTAGATTCTGGAGATGAAGGCCAATGATTTGTTTATCTTTTTCTGCTTTTTGACTATTTTCTTTTTTGGCTATCCATTGTACTTTTGTAAATCACGAATGAAAAGAGTTTCTTTAGACTTTTACAATTTCGAGTGCTTTACAAAACTGATATTACATCGTATCGAGAAATTTGTAAAAATATTACAACGAACAAGATCATGTAAGACATTTATTCAAGGTGAAGAAGAACGATCTCATTCATAAAGGTTACAAGGAAAACTTTATAAGTAAAAGAGATGGAAGACTGAGAGCAAGCCTGGAATTATTGATAATAGGGGCGAAGATGCTCGGCGTTCCAAGCTCGCAGTACTTTGGAACCGTTAAACCTTTTGAGGTGATACGTCCGTGGTCGTATCACTTTGGCGATGAGTATAGACCTTCTTTTAGACCTTCAATTAGTTCCTAATACCCCCGCGCTTGGTTTCCTTGTACCGAGAAAGACTTCTTTTAGAACCAAGTTGCCGACCTAGAAGTCTCTTCTTCTGACCTTGGAGTCAAAGAACATTTTTGCTCGTTGCTGGTAAGATGCTATTCTTAACCGAGCCTTGTCTCGATGTTCTTCGACTAAGTCTAGGCTAACGCGTAGAAGCACTTCATTTTTCGTTTTGTTAAAAAAGTCTCTCCGAAGTGAACCGATTCCCACTTCTATCGGGATCATTGCCTCACAACCATATGATAGCAAGAAGGGAGTTTCCGAAATGGAGGTTCTCGGAGTCATTCCGTATGCCCATAGAACTTCAGGGAAGTCATCAACCCAATTACCCTTGGCAGTGCCAAGCTTGGCCTTCAAGGTGTGCTTGATGGTTTTATTAACAGCTTCAACCTGCGACTGAGGCGAACTTTTTGTGGATCCCCAACTCATCGCAAAATTGCTTGAATTCCTCGCTGTCGAATTGCTTACCTCTTCTAGAGATAAGAGTATGAGGAATTCTATATCAGCACACTATGCTTTTAAAGACAAAGTCATTGAGCTTCTTAGTAGTGATCACAGCCAGAGGCTTGCTTCTGCCCAGTTTGTGAAATAATCTATCGCGACCATGGCATACTTGACACCCCCTTTTCCAGTGGGCATAGGCCCAATAAAGTCAATTCCCCACATAGAGAATGGTCAGGGGTTGGTCATGTAGTCAGCTGGTGAGAAAGAGCTCGCGGGATGTTTGCGAACTACTAGCACTTGTCGCACTTTTTTACAAAGTTTAAAGTGTCTTCCTGAAGTAAGGGCTAATAATATCCTTGGCTGACAATCTTATTGGCGAGTGATCGAGCGACAGTGTGATTACCACAGATCCCTTCATGTATCTCCCTTATAATATAATATGCTTCTTGTCGGTCACACAACAGAGGAGAGGGGCGCTAAACCCCCGCTTGTATAACTGATCCCCAACGAGGGTGTAATGAGCAGCTCTAGTGCATAAGATTTTTGCCTCAGTTTTGTCGTTGGGCAGGGTCCTATCTCGGAGATACAGAATGATTGGGGTTATCCAAGAGACTGATTTGGTTGTGGCTACCATTGGTTTAGGCAAGCTAATGCTCGGGATTCCTATGTACCGGACTAGGATATTGTCCGACACATCCAAGTCTAGCGATGATCTGCGATAGAGTTACTATCTCTCGGGATTTGCGTGATCGTAAAGTATTTGAAAGGCTTGAGTGCAGCCTTTGCTTTCTTTAGGTAGCTGATCATGTTCTCTTCCTTGGCTTGGTATTCTCCCGAGATCTGATTAATGACCAACTGGGAGTCGCTATGAATGTTGATCGCCTCGAATCCCATTTCTCTTGCTAATCGCAGTTTAGCGAGCAGCACTTCATACTCAGCCTCATTGTTAGTAGCCTAGAACCAAAACTGGAGGATTCCATGAATGCGCGTCCCTTCGAGACTAAGGAGGAGAAGACCTGCCCCGACCCTTTTTCTATTTGAGGAACCATTAACATAGAGGCTCCAGGTTGATAGTTTTTTAGCGGTCTCTTGGACGATCTCGTCGGTTGGTTGCTCAGGTCCTCGATCGGGCTGGTATGAGAATTCTGAAATGAAATCGGCAACAACCTGCCCTTTGATGGCTGTTTTCGGTCTGTAATGCATATCAAATTGACTCAGTTCCGTTGTTCACTTAAGCAACTTACCCAAGCATGGTTGAAGACTGGATATCCCAAGCAAATGCAAGACAACGAAGAGTAAGAGCAGGACGTGTAAAACCTGGAATTTGCTTTTGTTCTTACACACGTCATAGAGATGAAAAACTCATGCGTCATTATCAGGTACTTTCTACTCCCAAAAATACTTAATATTGAGGTGTTCTTTAGTCGAGCACTTAAAGATTGTCTGATAAGATTCAACAAAGTATATATAAATATAGTTTAATTCAACATTATAGATTTTTTTTAATAAAATAATCTGCCTATTAAAATAATTTTATTTTTCATTGCATGTGAAACACAAATATATGTGACCCTTAGTATTTATCTGATTTTTAGATGTTTCTAATCTGCAAATTCAAATAACTTAAGATTTATCTTTAAATATTGAAAATAAAAATAAACATATCATGAAAATCTGTTCGTTTAGACCCATTCAAAGTTCCATTCGATTCAGATTTCACCCAAAAAGAAAATAATGATACCTTAACTGTTGATGTCTTCATTTATGACCCACTTCTTATTTCTTTCTCTCCACAATTCAAAGGTTCGTGAGTGGAGTTGCATAAAGGAATTTCTATCCAAGGCAAGTAATACTGTTTCCGGGTTTGTATATTTTTCGTCTGAGGTACTCTGTCAGTAGGCTGACTTGATTTGTTAACCTTTCTGTTTTCAGGCTTTAAAACCTCCCAGGGAAGAAGCTGTGAACTCAGCAATTTCATTGTTGTATGAGGTAGGCTTACTATCATCGTTACTAAAGCTCTGGTGCAGTTTTACCATTGGATATATGCAAAATTGCTTTTAGCTTAGCATTACTCTCTCTAACTTGCAGAAGCAATGAATGCTTAGCATAATGTTGTCAGATGCTTCATGAAACAAGTACTTCTGTGTTTCAGATTTTCCTGTTAACAAAAGAACCCCTTTTTGTGATGTCAAAAAATGTTTCAATTGTGTTCATTTAATTGTTTCATCTAGCTTGCCGTGTAAAGTTATACCTTGCTACTCGGTTATTTGTTTAGGTCGGTGCTGTTGAAGGGGATGAGGAGTTGACACCTCTTGGACACCATCTGGCAAAACTCCCTGTTGATGTATTGGTCGGAAACGTGTGCATTACATATTAATTTAGTCCTTTATATTCTAAATGTAACATTTTAAAGGACTAGGGATTTGAATGCTTGTACAATAATTTTGTGGCATCTTAGTCATCGTATGAATGTTGATTACTTTTTCTTTTTGTTTTCTGTGCTATGTTAAAGTTTTTATTTCTACTTGCCTCAAATTCTGAGTTGAGAGTCGACTACTAGTCCTCATTTACAAGTCAAAATAAGAAAACTTTATAATTCTTAGGAGCAAATTATTTTTATATTTTCACTTAACGTCGTATTTGGTGGGACATAGAGTTTCAAAACATCGTATTTTGTGGGACATAGATTACTTGAAACTCCAAGGGCAATAGTGTGATATGCAAATTCATCCTCCATCTTGTGAGGGAAGCAATTCCTCCTTTTTTCTCTCTCTATTTGATTTGAGTAGCTTTAACAATTTTTTTTTTTTTAATTGTAAAATCGCTGCATTCTAGTACGAAAACAGATATGGGACATGCACACAATTGGTAACAGCACATCAACATGTTAACTTAATTATAGTGGAAATAATAAGGATGCGGACAAGGAGGGTGATGAAAATCTGTTGATATATCCCCATGATATCTAATTCTTTATATGTTTTTTCCTTCTTGTTTTTTAATTGTAGTAGTCATGCATACTATCTAAAAAAAGATTACTTTATATTTTTCCCTTGGACTGATTGCTTGTCAGATTTAAAAATATACGGAGGACTTAATTCATTCAATAATTTTTTTTCCCCTTTCAAAATGCAGATGCTGCTGTATGGTGGAATGTTTGGCTGCTTATCCCCCATTTTCTCAATGTCAGCATTTCTTAGCTACAAATCACCATTTGTTTATCCGAAAGATGAGGTCTCTTTGTAAGTGTTTTGTCATCTTATGATCTTGTGTCCTATTTGTTGTCTTGCACAATCTTCAGGTTTGTTTGCCAGTGTGACCACTCTCTGTAAATGTGACCACCTTCATCTGTGTGGGCGCATTAAAGTCTGTGTGGTCACAATGTATTTAGCAAATGTTTTTTTTCCACAAATGTACAAATTCGCTCCCATTTTCATTTGGGATAAAAATATCCCATTCTTGATATTTTGTTGTGGTACTTGTCCATTTGTCACATTATTGTTCATTGTCAAGAAATTTTTTTTTGCTTTTGTTGTGGTTCAAAAGTTTTCTTTTACAAAAAGCAAAATACAAAAATTAACTTTAACTTTATTGTCTCCTAACCCTTGGGCCTTGTTCTCTATATATTCATACTTTTCTAGCATCTTCTTCAAGAAATCTGATTACCTCTGTTTATTCATTGACTGTACTCTGAGGTATTTGTTTTTGTTAATGTTTCTCTTATGTTTTGGTAGGCTTGAAATTACCATCTCTTCTTGTCCTTGTGTGACAACTTTGGAACTTGATTCCATGTTGATGATTGCTTGTGTGGAAGCGGCTGTCTCAAAGATTGGTCTTCGTTGTTGAAACTTGAGAGGAGCTCAAGTTCGACCTGGTGGTTTCGTGTTCGTGAAGCTTGTTGTGGTGACTCGAAGTTCAACCAAAGAAGATAGAATTGTCATGTTGAAGACAGGGAGTGTTTTACAACTATGTTTATCTTGCTTTGTATTTGAACTCATAAGTTTTTCATAGTGGATTTGCTTCTTCTGAACTTGGTCTCATGGATATAGGCATGTTGCCTAACCATGAAAAATTGAGTGTGTTCTTTTCTTGTTTGATGGATGTTTACTTTATGTCTCTTACAACTCATTTGATCTAAAATGAAAAAGGAATCCATTCCACTAAAGTTTTAATCACTTGGTAACTTCTTTAAGACTTTCACTCTCATTTAACGCTGAACTAAAGTTTGATGGTTCTGCTGTCAAAGAAAAGAAAATCAATTTCTTAAGGATTTATTTCTTTATTTGTGTATAAATTCTGGAGGCAAAATGTTGAGAGAGCCAAATTGGCTCTGTTGACCGATAAGCTGGATGGACTCAGTGATTCAAATGACAGTTATCAGCAATCTGATCACTTGGTAATGATAGTGGCTTACAAGAAATGGCAGAAGATATTGCATGAGGTTAGTTGGTGGTTTGCTTGAACTTTGTAAGTTGATATATTCTCCAAGTAATAAATGATATATTGCTGGGAATAGACTTCTTGACTTCAGATCGTGTTTTCCTACTTGCAGTCATGATATACCTCTGTCCCAGTTATCAGATAACCCTTTCTTCCCCATTCTAGCGAGGCAATTTTTTTTTTAAATTTTACCATGGTCCTTATTATAATCAGATTACTTATAGACTTTATTGGAGCCAGTGTACTTTTTGACTGAATGCTGAACTCATATCAGTGTCGTGAACTCGTGATTTGCTTACTAATAAGCTTTACTGGATCAGATCCTGTAGTTGTTGACTGTTTACTGAACTCATATTGATGGCATGTTTTTTCAGTATAATCTGTTGTTTGGTGCTTCTCTTAATACATTTTTCTCTTATATGTGAAACTTAATTTTTGCACAAAGGAGCTAAAGTCGCCAATCAATTTTGCAGCTCTTACTTTTTAAGCAGTTCAGTCATGTACATGATCAGGTGTAATTTTCATTTCTTGTCTGTTTGAAAAATTTAATATGAATACTTTATAGTTTTACTGTCAAAAAGGAAGCAGCTTAATGCACTGGAAATTATTCTTGATACTATTTGGTGTACATGACTATCAATTCATGTTAACAGAAATATGTTAAGAATAGCATGACAAATATATCATGAGTAATTTGAGCAATATGCATATTCAATTAATATTTTTGCGTTTTCTGATATTTTTGTGAATGTCAGAGACATGAGGGTACAGTTTGGAACATTGCTAGCAGACATTGGGCTCATTGATCTTCCAAAGAAATATCAGGTGCCATGCCTTTGTTTCATTGGTTTACATATAAGTTTGTGATAGCATGTTTGAGTGTTCATTTATATTTTACAAAATTTTTGTCCAGCAATTTGCACTTTCTTATTTGAAATTGAAGATTTTAACAAGTATATGCTTTATTGGTTCAGGCTGAGGGAAAGAAGAAAGAGAAGCTTGACAGTTAGTTTTCTGATAAATCACAACTATTCAATATGTATGCTCATCATTCGTCAATCGTGAAGGTAAGAACCATATGGCTTTTGATGCTTTTGGTTCCTTGCAGTCTTCTTTCTCTTCTTTCTCTTTCACAGTAAATTGTTCATGTTACACAACAACTCTTATGTTATTCTGGAGGACAATTACTTGACAGAGCTAATTTCTTATTGCACGCTTTTATTATAATATGTCATTGCACTCAACTTTAAATTTCTCAACCAAGCTTAAGATCAATTTGGAGGAGATCTGCCCATGGTTGTATATACTTCACAAAGTCACCAACTTTATAGTTGGAAGTTGTATTTTACGTCTAATTTCAGACTAATTTGGTAGTGACATTTGTACTAGACATAGATTCTGAAGGCATTCTTGCAGGCAGGATTATGTGCAGATTTATATCCTAATGTAGCTGCCACTGAACAAGACATTGCTGGACCAGCTCTCAATAACCTTAGGAAGTCCAGTACTTCAGTAAAGGGTCATCCAGTCTGGTATGATGAAAGAAGAGAGGTTTACATGCATCCTTCTTCAATCAACAATAATTTAAAAGCATTTCAGCATCCATTCTTGGTCTTCCTTGAAAAGGTATGTGCACTTTCAGCTTGCGGATGCAATTTCTCTCTCTCTCTCTCTCTCTCTCTCTTTTTTTTTTTTTTTTTATTTTGGTCATCTAATGTTTCTCCTTTTGTTGATTGAGCATTAATGCATTATGTATTATGATCTCGTTGTGATGTAACTGTCTGGGCTTTGCCCAAACAATCACAACAGGCATGGGCCAAGAGGCCCCATTGTGCTTAAGAGAGAGATTTGGACTCACTTGAAGAAAGTTTCCCCTTAATGATTGACTTGATATTCTCAGGTTGAAACCAAAAAAGTATTTCTGCGAGATAATACGATCAACTATCCCTTAACTATTTTATAATTTGGTGGATCCATCAATGTTCAGCACCAGGTAAAAATTCTTCCTAACTTTTGCAACATATAATGCATGTGTACTTGAATGCTATATGCTATCTATTGTAAACATATTTAGATAGTTTAACAACTAGGAATTTTACCACATAAAGTATCCGATGCCTGGTTTAACAACTAGGGATGTCAATCTTTCATCGGATAAATGTATAGTGCCTAGCAAACGAGAGAAAGTTTATATACATCTTATTTTTTTTATTATGGTTTGCTTTTCTATCTTTTTGAAGTTTGTGTTGGTGTTTCGTGTTACAGACTGGACTGGTCAATATAGATGGATGGTTAAACGTTAATGCACCGGCCCAAACTGCTGTCTTGTTTAAAGAACTGCGAGTAACTCTTCATTATATTTTGAAGAAGACGATTAGAAATCCAGAGGTACCATTCCCGTATCCCTTACAGGCGTATTACATAGCTGTATCACCAACCAATACAAACCTACTGCATAATTTTTCAATTTAATAACTATCAACCACATAACTGTAAAGATCGATGGGAGAAAAAAATCATTGGTGGTATTAATTTATTGGCTTGTGGTATGGTTGACATGGTATTCCGGGGGCATTTTAGATTTTTGCTTTTAAGCGATGTTTATATTCATTTCCGTCCAAGTTTATTTTGATATTTGTCCACCTTTAAATATTTGTACATTATCTTGTTCCGGTCCAAACAGTCTTTGTATCATGTATATTTTGGTTCATTCTCTTGATTATGCTATGTTAATACCCGGTGCTAACTTTTTCCTTTTCTCATTTGTTTTTCGTTTTGCATAACATGAGTTGCATCTGGAGTTGTTCATAACTTCTTTCTTTCTTTCTTTCTTTGTTATTCAGAATTCTAACGATTGTAAATAATGACGTTGTCAAGTCTATGATCCATTTGCTGTTAGAAGAAGACAAATGGCAGAAGTAATTTATCAGCACAAGGTATATATGCATTCAAGTCTTTATTTCAAATTTTAGCTAACATGCCAGAACTTATTAATTGAGCACAATATTCCTGTTCATGAGTTCATGACTGAGATTTTATTTCAGATTCACAATAGTATGTTTTGTTTTTTAATTCACCTGTTAAAGTATTTCCCTTAGTAGATTACATTTAACTTGGTGATTTATGCAATAAAAACTTGTTCACAGGACGGCACAGGTTATCTATGTAAATTTGCCGAACTGATCACTGTAACCCCTTGTTGGGTATCCAGATCTAATGGGTATACTTAGTTACTTACATTCTACAGCCGTTTTTTATTAAAGACTTCAAGTACACTCGAAGTTGCAGCAGGAGAGATTTGGTAGCAGCTTAACAAAATGCAAGATCTGGCTGGAATTTTTAGCTCATTATGTGACACAGGGCTTCCGACAATAATACAAGGTTTTTATCTCTTTAAGCTGAGGATATTTTCTTATATGATAACAATTTTGTTGCACAGGCTGATGTCGATCTGGCCTTGATTTTTTAGAGAAACCCAAACATTATCTTGATTTTTGAGAGAGCAACTTTTGTATGTTAAATTATATTGACAAATCCAAAGGCCACTTAGCTGAACTTGGAGGAGAACTATGATAAACGTAGAAATCAGCAATGAAATTTTGGTGAACTCGGAGGTTGTTCATAAGTGTGCAGTTATTATTAAAGATCATCAATAGATGCATGTTTCTTTTCGGGCATTTGGGAAGATTAGTTATTTGAACATGCATACATAAGACATAAGAGTACAAATAACTCCGGTTCTTAACACCATAGTACAAATACTAAATAACCCATCTATCTACTAACATGAGTATATGAGTATAAATATCTCATAAACAGCAACGTAAACTCGAATATATATAAAGGCTATACACACAAGTTTTACCTTAAGACTACACAAAAAAGGGGGATGGAATATGAAATAATAAAATCACTCTGTGGGAGAGTTTTAATTCAAGGTCCATCCAATACCAATTTATCCGAATAGAACCAACAGAAGTAGAATTAATTAAATTAGAATTTTTAAAATATAATTGGTTAGAAAATTATAAGTTGTTTGAAGTTCTAACACTTTAAATCATTGTTTTAAAACCTAGTTTAGCCCGACCGACTGAATCTGGACCCGCGGCTTTCCTCGGGCTGGATTACCCATTTCATTGTTCACTGAAAACCTTAGAAATTGGGATGATGATTGACAAACAATTGAAGGTCGAGATGTTGAGGCTTTTAAAGAGAAAGTGCTGGTGAGTGCAATGGTGGCGATAAAATTGATTTCCAGTGAGTGAATTGACCGAAAATTGAAAAAAACTTGCTGTGAGAATAGCCAGTTTTTGCCAGTGATTGGCTAGGCTAACGGGGGTGAGGTGAGATAGGTTTTGGTTAGGAGGAAGAGATAAGTATTTTCAGGATGATAAGGAGGGTTGTTAACGTCGATGTCGATGAGATCTAGCATGGAATATAGATGTCAGCGTCAATGAGATCTAGCCAACCGATTTCAGCCAGATCTTAGATAGATTTTCTGGGGAATGGACTCAAGGGATAAGTAGATTGCATTTGGGGTGTTGTAGTCGTTGCCACCAACCAGTCACGGTCGATTTGTATTTGGGATGTGTTTGCTAAATTTCAAACTTATATAGACTACATTGTGATTTTCAAGGGTGTATTTGCTTAATTTTAAAAATTGTCGGGTCCCGGTTGCAGGGTTTCAATCCCTGGATTGGTTATTAAAACATTGCCTATGGCCCACCTATAGTTGCCTTTGAGAAGGGGAGGGGGTGTGGAGTGGGTGGGTGGTGGGAGGTGCATAATTAAGAGCCTTACAAATCTTGAAGAAGAGCAAACATTCCAAAATTTGCATTTTGTCGTGACATGAAAGGATAAAATCAAAGTTAGAAGGTGTGTAATGGAGGACCCATTTGGCAAGGAAATTTCGCAGCTTGGTTTCATAATATTTACAACGCAAACAAAAGAAAGGAGCAGGTCTTGTACATGCACATCATTATTTTCGACTTTCTAAACCACCAATGGCAGCAATTAGACAGGTAAATGCATCAATTGAATGGTATGGAAAGGGCCAGAAAGCAAAAAATGTTGTGAGCAAACTCAGCACTGAAAGCAATGACAAGATACACCTTATATTTCTATGAAACAATTTGCAGCTTCTGTCAATTCTGCTTTTATTCCATTCGGGAAAAGGAGATGAAGTGAGGGAATAAGAAAGCAATTTTCCCAAGCATCGGTAAAACCAAAAACCATACAGATGAGCACAACTCAATAGACACCTTATTGTATAAATACATAAATAACGATTTGATTTAATTGGTTGTCAAAAAAAGAACTAACGGGAATGACCGGAATACATACTAAATCAAAGGTAGCCACACTGCAACTAAAAGACCAAACAAGNGAAGCCTCAGTTTGGGTTCGCCTTTTTCCCGCTAGAAATCGTACTCAGATCTCGAATCGGGTCGCAAAAGGAAAGAAGGTCCATATTTTTTATTGAAATTTGTTCATATATATATATATATATATATTGTTGATGCTTGATTTTGACACCAACTACTCGCACATGAGAAATGCTGATTGGGCTCAGAAGTCACGCGTGATTATGGATGGGTTTAGTTTATTGAAGGGTGAAGAACAATGTTTTAAGTGATTCGGATGCTCACAAGGCGAATCCTACGTCCACTGATATTGTATTAATGAGTGAAGTCAAGTCGCATTTGGCGAGCTGAGTTACAATTTGGAGAATACAAATGAGAGAGAGAGAGAGAGAGAGAGAGTACGCTATTCCAGAGTGAAATTAACCAATCCCACAAATGGGAGGAAACTCCTCTATTTATAGTGGGATGAACCAAGGTAATGATTACCAAATCTGCAAGTGGGGTAGATGCCGTGCAAATCCATCTCTGCGTCCTATTGCTCACATGCCCTAGTGATTTCCTTGACTCATGCAGGGATTGGACACGTGGATCGTTTCCCACCATTCGCCAACCTGGCGTATACCTACTACACAGGCAGGAGCATGCCACTCACGTTATCACGAGACGTGGCTGCATTCGAACAATCGTAGAACCTTTTTAAGCACTGACCACTCATGCTGACAAGACTCTGCGTCAGCATTGCTTTTCCAGGCATAACAGAAGTCCCCTAGTTTTTAAGGTTTGAGAATCGAACCTTGATAACTACACAATTATGCCTTGATTTGATATGTGCTGAATGACGCTTGGTCGATCTGACCTGGCTACGAGGAGGTCACAAGGCATTTCCATATAGGCGACCTAAATGGTCCTCTTCTGCTAGGTTTATGACCTGGACTAGGCCTTATTCAGTGCCATATTGATGGAGCTCTTATCTTGATTGAGGTTCACGACCTGGTTATACTTAGCGTATTTTTTAGCTAGAGGCAATGAGTCACATTGCTTCGCACCAGACATGCGACGAAGAGTGTTTTATCGAACGACCTTTTCAGATGTTATCCGTTGCGCTTTGGTAGCTAATATATTAATGAAGCACATTTTGCTCTATCAGACGTGTCCTTTGCACAATAAGTGCTAGCCATGGGCATTGAATGTAAGCCATGCTAAAACGACATTTCTTATTAGAGCATTAAATGCTGATGAGAACGCATTTAATATGGAGGAGGGAAATGAGCCGTCGCTCGATTATTTCAACGGAGGGAAGGGACGATTTAATTTCTCAAAGCGTGATGGTTACTCCTTCCCGTTGATTGATGACACGTGGTCGTGATCAACGGTGAGAGGTGATTTCTGCTCACAAGTCGCTTGATTTCGAGAAAACCAAGTGCCACTTCCTTCACTATAAAATCCCAAGCTCACCTTAAGCAATGTCACAATACTCACTTTTGCAGAAAGAACAAGAAGCTTTCGCGAGACTTGATTTTCCACCTTTTAGATTGTGCGCACTTGATATTCAGAGCAGGATGATCAATCTTCATATTCAAGAGGTAAAGATGATTCGTTTATTGCTTTTTCTTTTTCTGTTTTTTGACGATAGTCATGCGATAATGGTGAACGTTTTCTGGTGGTTGATCGAAGAATAAGCTTTCTCCTAGGGTTTGAGTCTTTGGGGTTGGCCCCCAAGGATTCTTTAGAGTTTTTCTAGGGTTTAAGGAAGATGGTGTTTACCTTTTTCTTCCACGTCATCATACGAAACTGTGTACGATGACTGAGTAATTCCTACAGGTCACTTTTTTTCATACCGCAGAAGAAATGGACCTTTCAACGACCAGGACAGATGAGGGAATGAGCTCGACGGTACAGGATGCCCCAGCAGGTCCCTCTCAGGAGATTCTGTTAATAGCCACAACATAGGAGATTCAAAAAGCGGTAGACCAATATGCATTTAGCATAGATGTCTACCAACATAGGACGTACACAGCTCGGAATCCGCCAGAAGGAATGGCTGCGATCTCCGAGAACATTTTTAAGTGCGAAGCGCTGATTCCGTTCCACCCTTTCATAAGGTCAGTCCTCGATCACTTTGGGGTCGCACAGTTACAACTAACGTCGAACGCGTATATGATAGCCATGGCTATGTATATCGCATACGGTGAGAACAGCTTAGGCGAGCTAACCACGCTGGAGCTCGGCTGCTCGTATTATTTGAAGAAGAGTAAAGACAAAGAGTCTTTTTACCTCTCGAAGCGATCTACGATCGAGGGAGGAATACATAGTTACCCCAGAAACGTTGGGGCATATGAGACAAAATTTTTCTTTTTTCACTATGACGGCATTTGCCAATTTAGGGAGCCGAGTAGGTTTTCCTTTCTTTTTCTTGGCGAATTTTCTTTCTTTTTACCTTTGCTAATGAGCTTTCTTTGTCTCTTCGCAATAAACAAGACGACCAGGTTATTGGCTCTCGTTGATTTCGATAGGATCACTGCTTTCAGTCTTCTGCCCGAACAGAATCGCGATGCAAGCTGCTCTTAGCAATCGTGAACCTACGGAAATATGTGTTTTTCAACCCCGAAGCGACCTTGGAAATCTTACCAAGTAAGTATCCATAACCTTAGCCAACCTTGATGTTTGCATGGGATGAGTTGTTTTATTAACGACGTTCGTATGCAGCGACCATGCCATCTAGGGTACCTAGGTCGTTGAGAGCAAGGGAGTTCACCTTCCCTTGGGTCAGCGTAACAAGACCAGCCGAGGTAGCCCCCAACAGTCCCCCCGTCAGAGGGATACCTGCGGAAGCGTCGGTTCGACTAGTGAGTGCTCCCCAACCTGCGGCTGCTCATCCCAAGTAAAAGACTATGGCCTAGAAGTCTAAAAAGAGGAAGCAGCTTCGGGTCAAGGAGTCAGAGTCCGAGCTAGAGGGCTTGGGCGTTCAGCCTGGGAGGTCGTAGCCTTATCAGGCTTTTCGCTCAGGGGGACCTCCTACGGGCGCAATGAGCGTCACCATTACCCTTGAGGGTCTGCCAACGAGGCAAGGGGAGGTCGCGGACCTAGGGAGGAGAGCAGACAAGGAACCAATGGGCGAGGTGTCATCTGTCGGGGGGGCAGGCACTCCCGTGCTGGACTCCATGGGGTAATTCCTAGAGCATCTACAGCCGGTGATGTTTAACCTACTAGAGTGCCAGCTTGCAGAGGCATTCGAGTGGTTTGTGGCCTTTAACCCTGTGGACCTGATGACCATGGCCTTCCAGCATCAAAGCACGATAAAATGA